TGTTGACCAGGATGGTCTCGATCTCTTGACCTCATGATCCACCCGCCTTGGCCTCCCAAAGTGCTGGGATTACAGGCTTGAGCCACCGCACCCGGCCTAGTCTCAGCCATTGAACTCAAGGCACAAGCTGACAGTTCTCGAAATGTAGTCCAAGGCTCCGTAGGGGTTCTGGAGACCCTTTCAAGGTGTCTATCTGGTCAAAACCATGTTCACAATACAAAATTAATGGGACTATTTTTTTCACTATCATCCTGTCAAGGAGTGCACAGAATTTTCCAAGGATATGACCTGTGATCTCATGATAAACTGAATATAGAAGGAAATGTGAGATTCTTGTTCTCCATCAAGTCATGCATTAAAGAGATTTGCAAAAACGTCACTCTTCTCAATAAAATGTGTCTGATTTGGAAGTTTTTTCTTTTTTCTTTCTTTCTTTTTTTAAAAGATGGGGTTTCACCATGATGGCCAGGTTGGTCTTGGAACTCCTGACCTCAGGTGATCCATCCACCTTGGCCTCCTGAAGTGCTAGGATTACAGGCGTGAGCCACCGCGCCCAGCCTGAAGATTTTTTCATAAAGAATTTAAAAATTTCATTAAAACTTTTTTTTTTTTTTGAGACAGGGAGTCTTGCTCTGTCGCCCAGGCTAGAGTGCAGTGGTGTAATCTTGGCTCACTGCAACCTCTGCCTCCTGGGCTCAGGTGATTCTCTTACCTCAGCCTCCTGAGTAGCTGGGACTACAGGAGTGTGCCACCATACCTGGCTACTTTTTTGTAATTTTTAGTAGAGACGGGGTTTCACCGTGTTAGCCAGGATGGTGTCGATATCCTGACTTTGTGATCCACTCGCCTCAGCCTCCCAAAGTGCTGGGATTACAGGCATGAGCCACCATGCCCAGCCTAAACTTTTTTTTAAGAGGCAAAGTCTCGCTCTGTCACCCAGGATGAAGTGCAGCAGTGTGATCATAGCTCACTGCAGCCTTGAACTCCTAGGCTCATGCAATCAGTCCTTCTGCCTCAGCCTGCCAAGTAGCATGAAGCCGCTAGGCCCAGCTAATTTTTTTAACTTTTTTTTACAGAGACGGAACCTTGCTACGTTGCTCAGGCTGGTCTGGAACTCTGGCTTCAAGCAATCCTCCCATGTTGGCCTTCCAAAGTGCTGTGATTACAGGCATAAACTATCCATCATTCCTGGCCCAATATAAAATTATTTATATTAACATGAAACATGTTATTTTTAAAAGGGATTAAATACTTAATATATATGTATTTTTAAATAAAAAGATGGGGTTTCACCATGATGGCCAGGCTAGTCTTGAACTCCTGACCTCAGGTGATCCACCCACCTCAGCCTCCCAAAGTGTAGGATTACAGGTGTGAGCTACCGCACCCGGTAATATTTTCTATCTTAATTTTTAATATACTAAATATTGACAGAATGCACATAAATGGAAGCGCTCTTAAATTTTTTTTTTCCCAGACTATGAAGGGCTCCTGAAATAAAAGTTTGGGCATGGTGGCTCATGCCTGTAATCCCAGCACTTTGAGAGGCTAAGGTGGGTGGATCAACTTGACGTCAGGAGTTCAAGACCAGCCTGGATAACATGGTGAAACCCTGTCTGTACTAAAAATACAAGAAATTAGCCAGGTGTGGTGGCACATGCCTGTAATCCCAGCTACTCTGGAGGCTGAGGCAGGAGAACTGCTTGAGCCTGGTAGGCAGAAGCAGTGAGCCAAGATTGGACCATTGCACTCCAGCCTGAGTGGCAGAGTGAGAACCCATCTCATAAAAAAAAAGAAAAAGTTGAGAACCACTGTCCAGTGTAATGCTGGCTGCACAGGAAGCACCGAACACTGACTACTAGGCCATCCAGCATTCTGCACTGTTTCCATACAACTTGTGAGATCTTTCACACACACATTTTTTTGAAAATTGGACGCCAGATTTAACATAGTTTCTTCTGAGGTTCACTTTGACCAAAAGCTTTTAGGAACAGAGCAGAACCACATAGCCCTTAACACTGGGAGTATGACTGGCTACTGCATGTCACTTACAGAATTACTGTGTAATTTACTTCCAAGATGAAACTTACATGTCAGTGCTTTTGACATACAAACCAGAGCAGCTGCAAGCTTTTCAACTAGCATCAACCGATGAGTAGAAAAATATTCTAAAATTTGACGCCTCTGGGTTCATGTAGTTTAAAAGAATATGGTGGTGTTCTGTGATTCATATACTACCATTCCTCAATGAAGCTATTTTAAGTAAAAAAATTAACATTTGGTCAAAAACAGATTTATAATTATCTACACAAACCTGGTGGGGCCCAAGACAGCTTGTAAGGTGGACTTTATGAATTTTTGTGCACGGTTCTTCAAGATAAATCTTCATGGCAACAAAAACTGGGCAGATTTGTGGAATTTGGAATCAGTAACCCTGCTTAAAACCAACACTGCTCCCAAAGCCAGAGAAGGCTTCTGCCTTAGCTGTCGTTAGTGACAAAATTCACAGTCTAGCCCGGACCTAAGCACAGAAAGCTTTTATTACCACAGAGGAAATCAGGAAATGCTGGAGACAGCCTCGTTAGCTGTGTGATCAGGGAGGGGCAGGCAGGCAGGCAGTAACCTGCCATCAGTCATGTCTAGGCAGTCTCCCAACCAACAGGTCTGCTTGGTTCAGGAGAGGCTTTTGGTGGGCTGTGTGTCTGTGTAACTCAGGAAGGTCAGCCTCGACAAATGGGCCTCTTCCTGGACAAAGGACAGCCAGAACCAGGGAGACCAGCTGCACAGACATCACCTTAAAATGGAAATCAAATTAGGTTCATTACATCAGGAAGTACATTTCACCCTGATCACAAAAGAGGGAAAAGGGAGCACTAGGCTCTGCTGGATAAGATGCTTTGAAAAGTTAAACATTGGCAGGGCCTTTCCCCTTGCTAACAGCAAGCAGCGCACAATTTTCCAGTCAGCTTTTAAAGCTATTGTTATCTTTGTTATCTGTTATTATTTGGATTTTGAACAAAATTGATGGAGTAGGAGCCAGTAGAGGAATCCTGTTTGATCTGGAAATTTTCCGTGGAGAGCCCAAAAGGTCGGAGTACCAAGTTCCCAAGATCTTTTAATTTACCTGTAACATAAAAGCAAAGACTCAAATGAATACAGGAATGAACAGAAGCAGGAAGGCACCAATTAATCTTGCCTTACCATTGAGTACAAAATATAAAAGTATCTCTTTGCAGTTAAGGAAATGCCTACTTTTAATATAATGAAAGCTTCCAGGAGAGTTCCCAGCCCCTGTTCCCCACTCAGCAGTGCCGTCACTTCAATGCCATCCACCCCAAGCCTGTGCTTGCATAGATGAGAGTGGAGTCCTGCGGCTCTCTCTGGGAGATCAAAGCCTCCTGTCCAAAGTGGCCAGTACTATCAAAGGACACAGGCCTCTGGGGTGAGTGCAGGGAAAACCAACTGCTGTTCCAGTGGTGCTCACAGCATCGTGCCAAGCCAGGTCTGCCCGGTAGTGAGGGCAGAGGTCCCTCCAAGTCTCTTCTCTCTAGAACAGCAGCCACCTGCTAAATTTAGTTTAACTCGGCAAATTTCCACTGAGCCTGGATTCACACTCAAGAGCTTCCTGCTTTCCTAAGCAAATCCTTAGCTTCTATACCAAATTAACAATTTCTTAGAAATGGGATCTTGTTCATTTGTGCAGCAACCTCAATAGGACTTTAATAGTCCAGGCTCCTCTTCTCAAGTTTCAGGCTTTATTTACTTATGACTCGGGTGACGTATGTAGGCTGGGTACAGTGGCTCACACCTATAATCCCAGCACTTACGGAGGCCGAGGTGCGTGGATCACTTGAGGTCAGGAGTTCAAGACCAGCCTGGCCAATATGGTGAAACCCCATCTCTACTAAAAATCCAAAAATTAGCTGAGCGTGGTGGCATGTACCTGTAGTCCCAGCTGAGGCAGGACAATCGCTTCAACCCAGGAAGTGGAGGTTGCAGTGAGCTGAGATCACACCACTGCACTCCAGCCTGGGCAACAGAGCGAGACTGTCTAAAAAAAAAGAAAAAGTCATGGTATATAACCAACAGTTCTTGCCAAGCATGGTGACTCATGCCTGTAATCCCAGCACTTTGCTGGGGTGAGAGGATGTTGTGAGCCCAGGAGTTCAAGACCAGCCCGAGCAATGTGGTGAGACTCTTATCTCTACAAAAAATTTTTTTTAAAAAACAAAAAACTAACAGTTCTGATGCAGTTTTTAAGATATCAGAGGGTTATGGAGTTAGTATGTCAAAAGTTGGAATTTCCAGAACATTTCAGAAATCTAAAGGGATTTACAGAGCAGTGGAATGGAACATCTGAAACTAGGTATGTTCCAAAAAATTTTGGCTGGGATGGGTGAATAAACAGTTTTGACCCTTTCTAAACTGCTTTAATTTTTCTTGCAGGTCTGCTTCCAGTGGAGGTGAGAATGGGGGAAGATGAAAAGAGAAATCCCTAATCACCAGAGGTACAGGCTCCTTCCCACTTCTCAGCCGCTTTTCTCACTCTGCAGCCTCCTATCTTAGAGTAAAGCCCAGGTAAAGACCTTAAAGATGCATGGCCTTGGCTGGGTGCAGTGGCTCACACCTGTAATCCCAGCACTTTGGGAGGCTGAGGTGGAAGTATCACTTGAGCACAGGAGTTCAAGACCAAAAGTTCTCACCATGAGTTATTAAGAGGATCACTTGAGCCTAGACGTTTGAGACCAGCCTGGGCAATACTGGGAGACCCTGTCTCTACAAAAATTTAGAAATTAGCTAGGTGTGGTGGCACACACCTGTTGTCACAGCTACGTGCAGGCTGAGGTAGGGGGACTGCCCGAGCCCAAGGAGTTCAGAGCTACAGTGAGCCGTGATCATGCCGCTGCACTCTGGCCTGGGTAACAGCAAAAAAGACGCATGGCCTTTACACCTTAAAGGCCTTCCTAATAACTCGTGCTGAGAACTTTTGCTCTTGGGCTTAAGAACTAGCCCAAAGAGGCTCATCATGTCCAGAGAAAGGCCAATCCATCTTGGGATAAAACATTTAATTGAGAAAGCTCCCAGAATCTGGGACAGCCATTCTCCAGGCTGGCTTCCCAAACCTAAACCTGGGACACACACACTCAGTGCTACTGCTTGTGTCGCTGGCATAAACCCTGGGTGCCTGCACAAGGGAGCAGCACAGCCTCAGGCAGACGGGTGTATAGGGAGGGGCTCACAACAAGCAAGAGAAAGACAGGGCAGCCTCAGGGCAACCTGAGTTAGCAACGCCAATCGAGAAGGTTGGCAGTTTGTACTGGGTTTGGAAAAAGAGGATGGGGGTGGGGTGGGAGAACCATTAAGAGTGGCCCAATAAAATGCTGGTACTGGGAAATCCTTGGCTGTTGTGACATGGAGTGAGTGAAGTGAGAATGTGTCTCAAGAGCCACTCACATCAGACTCCTGAGGAGGGGCAGCTCCAATGGTGGAGAAGCCTGTGGTCCAGGTACCCTGGATGGTCCACTGAGCCCAGGGCCACTACCTGGATAGAGGGAATCACTGCAAGCCCATCTCCAGTGCCAGAAAAACAATTTAAAGTACAAACTGGAGATTTTACTTGGCATCTATTATGTGAGCCAATGGGATGTAAAGAATAATAATTTCCACGCGCGATGCTCACAGTCTAGCGGGGAGGCAGACACAAAAGACTGAAGTGTGCTTTCTGACCTTGCAGTGGGACAAGGAAGCCTTTTCAGGAGAGGCCACATGCCACAGTGCTCTAGGGGATGGGAATAGGCCCAGGATGCTGGCTATGTCACTGTGCTTGAGATGGCAGCGTCCTCAGGCAGCAACGGTTTGGCTTTAGGCTGGTTTGCACTAAAGGAGGTTTCCCTCTAGTGCAGAAAGATCATTCCAAGCTAGGACTGCAAATATGACTTCAAACTGCCAATAAAAGGAAGAATTCTCTTTCCCAGGCCCTCACTTTGCCTAACTGGCTAATGGGCCTGTCTGCCACAAGCTACCTTTGAATTTTTAGCTTGGTTGATTCTATGGTGTGGCAGTCGTGAAGATGTGCTTCTCCAAATGCAAGGGCCAGAGTGGCTGCACTCTAAAATCCATTAGCACATTCATGCAGAGGCCACCCCTCCCACGTGCTGCTCCCATCCAACACCTGAGCATGCCAGGAGCTGACCAGGGACTCGTTTGATGGGCAGCAGTGGCTCCCCAATGGCTTTGCTGCAACTTTCTCAGCATCACACTTCAGTGGAAAGCTTCCTCCCTCCCCACCTTCCTCCTCCACAGGGGTCTGTCAGCTCTGCCAACATCCTCCAGCTCCCAGCCCCATTTTCCCTTGCAGGTGTTTCCCCCAATAAATCTCTTGTACTTCTAATCCTATCTTGGCTTCTATTATTTGGATGACCCAAACTAACACATAATTTTTCTTTTTCCTTCAATTCCAGTATCTCTGCCTTTATAATATTCCACAATAATTTCACCAACCATCACTTACAGAACAGAATAGAAAATGCAAAATTCTGCTTTCTAAATGTGACTACATATATATAATACCTGGCAGGTAGCAGATACCTAATAAAAGACACACAAATAAACAGTCTGCATTACAGAAGACCTAAGGTCACCTGACAGAGATTGATTCAACCAACATGTACTGATGACATGTGTGGCACTTGCTGTGTGTGGTGGAGATGCAAAGATACGTGGCATGGTCTATACACCAAAACAAGTTTTGAATTTGAAAAGGAAGACAAGACATACAAAAACAACTCATATGTAGCTGAGTTATAAAATGCTCTGAGAGTCAGGAAGGGGAAGATTTCTTCCAGCTGGAGCAGGAAGAGAGGAAAGGAGTGGAGGAAAGAGGCGATTTGGTCTATCTTTGTGTAAGAGATTGCACTTGAATCAGGCACCAGAGGCCATAGGACTGCAGCCATCTGAGACAGAGGTGGTGTCAGTGCAAGCAAAAACAGCGTGAGCCAATGGACAGAGGCAGGCAGGCGAGCCATGGGTCCAATGCAGAGGTAGGCAGGCGAGCCATGGGTCCAATGGGGCTGAAGCGGGGCGGGCAGGTGCCTCCTGCCAGGCTCATCAGCCTATGGTGCCCGTGCCATAGGAGGCCACTGACAGCTTGAGAACTGAGCATTCTGGGTTAGTAATCCTGTGGCAAAATGAAGAAAGAACCAGAAGGGGAGACCACAGGGGTGGTTCTGACAGAAAGTTAGTCCCTCATTATGGGAAAGAGGCCATTTATTCACTGAACAAACATTAACATTTCTACAATGCTTGGGTAGATGGGCTCTGAAGCCAGAGTGTGGTCAGTGGAACATAAAAGGGCAGAACAGTACGGTAGAATCAACAAGTTTTTAGTGACTGAAAAATTTACCTTTTGCCGTTTGTGCTGATGACAGAGAAGCAACAGCCTTCAGTACAGCTCAGGCTCCTAAACACATGCACACTCACACACCCACAAATTTTTCTGCCTGCTGTGTAGAGTCAGGTTGGGTGCTCAGACGCTACAGCAGCTTCCTTGTATCCAAACAGGGTCATCTGCCAAACTAGTCTATCTGCCACACTTTCCACTGGCTGTCAAATTCTGTCTCCCCGATCTGGACAGTAATCAATGAGGTTTCCTTGTTTCCACCTATAGCACATGTGGAACCTTCACTCAGCCTGAACATGTCCACATGTCCCTAACTATTAGGGACCCTTCTATTAGACTAGATCCCATGGCAAAGAGAAGAGTTCAAAGCTGCTCGTGCTTAGACAAGAATGTTTAGAAACAGGGATTGGTGCTTGCTACTGGATTCAGTTGATAAATACTAATTTCTCTGCCAAGTAGCATATCATAATAACCCAGTTGATTTGTTATGCATAATTTCTCTTTGGAGATACTGAGTGTAAACCAGGCAGTTTACTCTGAGCAAAACCAGGAATGCTGTTTGTTTTCATGTCCTTAAGATCACTCGGGCATGGATTCAATGGAATAGCTCCACTGGGACTTTCTTCTCTGTTAAGATGAACCAAATTGCATACAACTGAATCCTAATACATTTCCTCCTGTGAGGCAGGAAACTAAGGCATGCTGCTAACTGTAGCTTTTCTCTG